TTAAATAGATTTTCAATCATAGACTTCTTATTCATAATCATTCATCACTTTATCTCTATGCATTTGCTAATGTTGATTGGGTAAGCAACACTAATAATAGAATATCTATGTCGGCCTATATTATTTTCCTTGAAACAAAACTCAATTCAGTTTCCAATCTGCTACATGAACTTAGCATCATCTCCTAATCCATTCACATAATATACTATGATAATATTAGTGTCACCTACTTATGTGCTAATCTAATGTTTCACTCATATATGAAATACATTATGATCGACTTCAATTTTATTAGAGATCAAGTTGTTAGACATTAATTACGTGTTTGTCATGTCCATTCTTCTAACCAACTAGCAAACTCTCTCACAAAACCTCTCTCCCATAGAATTTGCTAGTTGCATCGGTCCAACTATGACACACATTTCAACAAACACATGGTAAGCAATATGAATTATGAATATATACTTCAAAAGCTCTATATGATCGCACAAAGAATCCAAGATAGTCCGTCGTGATCAAATATCCCTATAAGTGCCCACATGACACTACTATGGAACAATTTGGTCTCTTCACAATGATTGCAAACAACCTATATTTATAAGCTCAAAATGACAATGAAAGCTAACTAAACTATGGTGCCAAACCTAGTGTAAGCTCTCTACATGTATAAAGCATAAATCAAACCGAAAGACAGAAACATACATGAGCATTACATCAAACTAACTAATGGTGTGACTCCCATCTTCCGATGAGTGTCGAGAAACTGAAGTTGGGTGGGAGCATTGCCACCCCATCTTGGAGTCCTAAACCTCTTCCAACCCCAAGGTTCGTACAAAAGCACCTTGCCCCTTACTAGCCAACATCAGCAAGAAGATGAGTTGTTGCAGAAGTGGATAGGTCTCCTCCCCTCGCAGCAAGGAGGGAGTCCTCGTGAATGATTAACTCTTCCCGCCCCGTGGGGAGTTTGTACGAAGAACGCTACTCGCAATAGCAACAACAAGTACAATAACAAGAGCAACATCAGTCACGATCACAATTCCCGTCGGAGGGATCGAAAGCCCCTTAACACCCCATGTCATCCTAGCACCCTCAATCACAACCGCCATCCCCACGGAAGGGAATGTTATTTTGTGGAGACTTGTGACCAGGCATGCAAATCAATCGATTGTTTTTTTTAGACATGTTAATTGGTATTTTATTCATATTAAAAAATAAACCTTAAATCTTACTTGTGGAATGATAGTATGGATGATGGCCATACATTTTCTTGCATCAATTAAAATACATACATATATTTAAGAATGCTATTTGGTGCAGAGTTGTGAGTGGATATTTTTTTAGGGACATGATGATTAACATTTTATTCTGATTAGAGAAGGACCTTAAGTCCCAGTAATTGTGGAATGACAGAATGGCGGAGGACAATACATTTTCTTACATTCATTCAAATGATTTTTTTAAGGACATGTTAATTGACATTTTTATTCAGATTAAAAAAAGACCGTTAGTCCTACTTGTATAATGATAGTATGGAGGATGACCATAAGTTTTCTTGCATTAATTAACACAAGTACATATATTTAAGAATGCTATTTGTTGGAGACTTCTGTTTGGGTGAGCCAATCAAAGTCCTTTTTTAGGGACATGTTAATTAGAAAAAGATCTGAAGTCCTTAACTCGTTCTTGTGGAATGATAGTATTACATTTTTTTGCATTAATTAAAATACATACGTACATTTAAGAATTCTACATTGTGGAGACTTAGTGAGTGCTCGCGTGACCCAAGGATTAATGGACATCTTTATTTTAGGGACATGCTAATTGCTCTTTCATTCAGATTAACAAAAGACCTGAAGTCAAGAAAATATAATACGGAGGAATCTCAGCTATAGGTGTGTGTTGTACTGCAGCTATCATTATAAATACTCCCATCGCTTTCTACCGAGGAGGGCGTTCAATCGTAACTTATCTTCTTGGAAAGGAGTGCTTCCATATCGGTGTCTGCAAATGGTGAGAAGCTCAATTCGCCTTCATGCTTGAGTTCTTTCGACTGCATATATTATACACAGCAGCAATATCATACGATAATGTCAATTATATTCGGTGGTGTTGACGCATTCATGTCAATTATACGATAATGTCAATAAGCAGGGTAAAGTTGTCAAGGAGGGGCCGTGGGGTGCGAACGCAGGGAATGAGTTCGATACTGGTCGTGTTGACCGTTTTACCAAGGTCAAGATTTACCATGGAGATGTAATATACGGGTTGGAAATAACCTTCGTCGTGGATGGTAAAACCCAACCCCCCTTGCTTATTGGAAGCAAAAAGCGCGCATCCCAAAAGGTATACATATTTTATTAACATCTATGAACTCGCATGTACATGGATAAATTTTCGTGTGTTTCTATGCATGTTAGAATAAAAACACATCACTCTTCACGGAAAACCATCTTATATCTAATTGCTATTTTCTGATCAAGAACAGATAAAGCATCAGAAGAGTTCCAAATTCTTATTCTTTTTCCTCCGGTTCTCATTTCTAACTGAGCCAATGATCGTTTGTAGATTACCCTCGACGAGGACGAACGCTTCATTTCCATCTCGGGATACTTCAAACCAATGTTGGGAAACGACATTTTCATAACACAACTTACTCTTACCACCGATGAAAACAGAAACGTAAGTGCTGGCAATGAGACGGGCAATCCTTTCTCCCTTGCTTTAGAGGAGGGAGGTCACATTGTGGGCTTCTGTGGACTTGTTGGTCAACCGACTGTCGCCGTGGGAGCCATTGCAGTGCACTGCTCCTTGGCTGATTCCTAGATATGGATGCACTAGTCCGTAAAGGACTGCTGCTACTACACATATGCTATACTAAATAAGGAGCAGCAGTTGTCGTCATCATCGTTATCCTTATTGTTGTTGTCCCCATCGTCATCCTTATTGTTGTTGCTGTCATCATTATCGTCGTTGATGTTCTTGTCCTCAAAGTATTCTTAAATAAATTATAAACCACTTGTGGGTCTACTATGATTTGTTTGGACTAAAATCATCAAGAGTATTGCTATCTGATTCATCAAGTGAAATGGGAACAAGAAAGAGCAATAAAAAGAAGAAAGAACGTGCAGGTAACTAGAAGGAACATATAAAACTATGTACTCAAATTGTATATAAACTGCTAAGTAAGATCTTGGTTGTCCAAATTGGGATCTGATTTGGAATCAAGGGAGCTCCCTTTTTAAAGTCAATACCAAGTCAAACTTTACGGACACCAAGTGAATCCACACCTTTTTGGCCAATTGGGCAGGTTGTGGCTCTCTTTGAGCTGATCCGGCCTTGCGCGTTGTTGTAGTGCTCCATGAGCCGATTTGGCCTCGTGTGGGTTGCAGCGTATACAGTGTCGATTCGACCTAGCACTTTGTTGTAACGCTCTTTGGGCCTATTTGGTCTTGTGCATTGTTGTAGCGCTCCATGGTCTGGTTCGACCTCACATGGGTTGTAGGGCCAATTTGGCCTCGCATTATTGTCAAGAATTTTTATGTGCAGATGCATGTATGAAGTATCATACCGACATCGTCGATGTACGCGTGACATCAGTTATTTCATGAAATCAGGTAGGACCTTCCTCCGGGCATCACATCATCCTTTTTTTATTCAAAGCCTTTGCTATAGAAATTTTAGCGTCAAACTCTTAACACTATCTATCATTCAATGTTAGTCGGGGAATGCGAAAGATTTTGCATCACCTTGAAGTTGACTCTATTTCTTGCGTGCTATAGTGTATGCGAAAGAAAGAGCATTTTTGTAAAATAACCCTCATCATGTCCAAGTCTACGGCCATCCTCCAGATTAGCATGCATTGGCTAATCTGGATCCTGTAGTAGTCGAGGCTAACCTTGCTTTTCAATTGCAAATGTGGATCTCCGAGACAATATCCTTCAAGCAATTGCTAGACGTGGCATGAAAACCAAACTGGTTGTGTCACACCCATCTTCCCTTGAGTGTCGAGAAGCCAAAATCAGGTGGGAGCACTATCACTCCAACTTGGAGGCCCGATCCTTTTTCAGCCTTTGGATTGGACAAATGCACCTTGCACCCTCTGAGTTAGCGTCTGTAAGGAGATGAGTTGCTGCCAGTAGTAGTGGATGGGACTCCTCTTGTCTCGGTATGTACGGAGTCCCTATGTAGGACTGACTCTTCTTGCCCTAGGATGAGTCAATACGAAGAACACTACTTGCGAAAACATCAACAATAACAAGAGCAATAATAATCATGATCGCAATTCCCATTGAAGGTATGGGCAGGTCCCTCAACAACCTATGTTGTCTCACCACCCTTAGTCACAATCGCTATCCCCATTGAAGGAAATGTATTTATGGAGACTTGTGAGTTGTTATGTGAATCAATCGATCTTTTTTTGGGACATGTTAATTGGCATTTTATTTAGATTGAAAAAACCTTAAATCCTACTTGTGGAATAATAGTACGGAGGATGGCCATGTTAAATCTCAGATTTTAATGATGAAATTAATTAATAAATCGTTTGACCTAATCTATGTGTTAAAATAAGTTTGTAGGATTAAATACGGTAGTAGTAAGGCATAAAGCAGATGATGGATTAGAGTCAAGATCGAGATTTCGTTGGAAGTTCAAGAGTTCGTCGAAAGGTCGGACACTCGTCGGAAGTTCTGTCAGAAGTGACCGAGACATCCAAGTGCTTGCCAAAAAAGCTCATCAGAACTCACTAAGAAAATCATCGTAAAGTCCAAAAGCTTACCGAGTGTCCATTGGAATATTATTGAGAGATTGTCGGAAGTTCACCGGAAGATTGTCGGAAGCTCGCTGGAAGAAACCAAGATTAACCGGACTTGATTTGCTTAAGTATATGTCTTAAGAATCATAGTTAGCATACAATTAGAGTTAGATTTGGTAGGGACCAATTGGGCCTGAAGTTAGGTTAGTTTGAGACGGATTCAAGGCCCAACCAGGTTATTGGACCCTATCTAGTGGTGACACCGCTTGGGACACAGTCTCCCAGGAGGTCTAGGCAGTGGTACCGCCGGTAGTTATTAATTGCCAACGGTGGTATCACTTGTCAGGCAATGGCTAGAGCTCGGTCTCCGAGCTCTATCAAGCAATAATACCACCCAATAATAGCGGTGGTACCACCAGTACCCAGAAAATCCGAGATGAGACACTTTTTTGCTCTAATTTTAAAGCCATTGGGGCCTATAAATACCCCACCCTTTTCTACACGAAAGGATAATAAAGTGCAATCGAAGTATGAAAAATTTTAAGTGTTTGGAGTATTAAAAGTGTTGTAAAAGTGAGAAAAGTCCTCTTCTCCTTCTCTTAGCTTTGTAATCATCTAAGAAAGAGGAGTCTATTCATGTTATAGAACTTTTCTTGGCTATTCTTCTATTTCTAAGGCCTTTCGTATCTTTAACAAAAGAACTTTGGTTATAGAAGAGTCTATTAATATTATTTTTAATGAAGTTTTCGAAGTTAAGAAAAATAATTTTAATGATCTTAATTTTGATGCTTTAAATTTAAATGAAACCTTTTCTCTATCTTACAACTTGGATGCATCTTCTTCCGAACCATCCTTACCTAAGGAATGGAAGTACGTAGATGCTCATCCTAAGGAGCTAATAACAGGAGACACATCAAAAAGGGTTTAAACTTGTTCTTCTCGTAAGAATTTTTGTGTCAGTGCAGTGTTTCTTTCTCAAATTGAGCCTAAATACATTGACGAGGCCTTGAAAGATTATGCATGGGTTATCTCAATGCAATAAGAGTTGAACCAATTTGAGAGAAATGAGGTGTGAAAGCTTGTTCCGATGCCAAATGACCATTTAGTTATTGGTACTAAATGGGTCTTTAGAAACAAGTAAGATGAATTTGATATTGTGGTTCGAAATAAGGCTAGATTAGTGGTCAAGGGTTTCAACCAATAAGAAGGTATCAATTATGAAGAAACATTTGCTCCTATGGCACGATTAGAAACCATAAGGATGCTCCTTGCTTGTGCTAGTAGTAATAATTTGAAGTTATTTCAAATGGATGTTAAAAGTACTTTTCTTAATGACTTTATTTCCGAAGAAGTATATGTTGAACAACCTTCCGGATTTGAGAATGATAATTTCCTTAATCATGTGTTTAAATTGACTAAAGCTCTCTATGGGTTGAAACAAGCCCCAAAGGCTTGGTACGAGAGACTTAGCTCATTTCTTATTCAAAATAATTTCTCTAAAGACAAGGTCGATACTATATTATTTATTAAAAATTTTGAAAATAATTTTTTTGTTATTCAAATTTATGTTGATGATATTATTTTTGGTTCTACAAATGAATCCTTATATTAATCGTTTGCCAAAAGTATGAGTCAAGAGTTTGAAATGAGTCTAATGGGTGAACTAACTTTCTTTTTAGGCTTACAAATCAAATAACTTAGTAATGATATTTTTATTAATCAAACAAAATATGTATTAGACTTGCTAAAATGATTTAATATGGATAATTCAAAGGCTATCAATGCTCCTATGAGTACCTCCACTAAGTTAGACATTGATAAAGTTGGAGAAAGCTTTGATCAAAAAGCTTATAGGGGTATGATAGGTAGTTTACTATACCTCACCGCAACTAGACCAGACATCATGTTTAGTGTAGAACTTTGTGCTAGGTTTCAATTTAATCCTAAGCTATCTCATCTTAAAGCAGTCAAAAGAATACTTAGATATCTTAAAGGAACCACAAATCTAGGATTAGGATATCCAAAATTCAAAAACTTTAAATTAATTACTTATGTTGATGCAGATTTTGTTGGATGTAGATTAGATAGAAAAAACACATCCGGAACATGTCAATTTTTAGGACATATACTTGTCTCTTGGTCTTCTAAAAAACAAAACTCGGTTACACTATCTACGATCGAAGTTGAATACATTGCAGCTAGTGCTTATTGTGCACAAGTTATATGGATGAAAAATACTTTGAAAGATTATATAATTTATTTTAGGAATATTCTCATAAAATGCGATAACACAAGTATAATATGTTTAACAAAAAATCCTATTCAACACTCTAGAACTAAACATATTGATATTAGGCATCATTTCATAAGAGATCATGTAAATAACCATGACATATCTTTAGAGTTTATTGACACTAAATATTAATTAGTCGATATCTTTACCAAACCTTTAAATGAAGAATAATTTGATTTTATAAGAAGGGAGTTAGGGATGTTAATTGTCCGAATGCATGAATTTGTTGTATTTCTTTTTTGGACTTTCTCGATTTTTTAAATAAGGATTTCATGAAATCCAGAATATCGATTTATTTAGTATCAAATTTATTTCATACCCTTGCTCCATCACTTAATACACTTAATCCCTTCACTCATGAAATTTATTAACAAATACTTTTCTCACGGATTTTACTCTTGTGAATTTTTAATGAGAAATGGATTTTATTCATGAACTTTTATTCAAGAATTTTTAATCCTTCAATTGATGCTTACTCTTGTCATGAAAGAAGAATTTTATGAATTTTTAGTGTGCAATGATCACTTGCAAGAGTGACGATTTGATTTCATATGGATATCTTGATTCTTTTCATGAATCCCTTCTCTATGCTAAAATTGACAAGTGATTTAATTGATTGTTTTGAATTTGACTTGGTTCATATCTTTTCATGAATTTGGTTCTGGATGAATTCCCTCGCCTTCTTCCTCTTCTTGTTATTTTTATGACAAAGGAAGAAAGAAACTTGCACTTCTCAAGAAGAACCAAAAGCTTTTGCGCCTTTAAAGTAAAAACTAGTTATCATGTAAAGTTTTTGCTTAACTTCTTATTTTTTGCTAAATTGGTTTGAAACTTGCTTGAATTTTTTTACCACACTTGTATTGTTGAATGGTTTTCCTTTTTGTTGATGACAAAGAGGGAGAAATGAAAAATTGATGACAACTTGACTTTGAACATTTTAAAATAATATGTAAAATGTATTACATCGTAGATACTTGAATGCTTTGTA